TAAAGGGATGCATTTTAAGGTAAAACCCGATCAGACAACAAAAATTTAATTATGTTTTGCATGCGAACAAGAAGAAAAAAAATGATTGACCTTCACAAGAAGCGGACAATCTACACTCTTTGCATAGGTCATTATAAGGAAAACTGCAGTACTTTGAAACAACTGGAAAGTCAGAGGGGGAAGAGAGGTAAAATAAACACAGAGAGACTTTAGATGATCTGGCATTATGGCATGGAGGAAACTGAGTATCAAAAATTATTGATAGTACACAAGACAGAAGGTTGTGGATAGATATGATAACAAAGGTCAAGTGTCATGGATTATAAAAACAAGATGAACTTACCAGTTCAAACTCCTGGCCAACACATGACTGAACAAAGTCATTATGCCTGGCGTACATCTGCAGATAAAGTCAAATATATATATATAGAAAATGTGTAATACATTGTGTGTAAAATCTGGCACTTTAAGGAAAAGGCATACAATTTATTGGTCTTATCAACAACAAAAGTGAAACATGCAAATGAGCTTGTAACATTTAGAGTTTAAAATAACCCAGTGTTTGTTTCTTTTCTGCCCATGAAATTCTTAACATTCTTTATTAGATGTTCAGTGCTGATTAGTGAGGTAAACTAGAGAACCCTTGTCAATGCATTGCCACAATGAGCAAATGATGTTAGACTTATATTTTTATAGACCAATCAGCACGCGATGGGTTCACCCACTGGCTTGCTGGTAGACGACTTCATTGTCGGTCGGGACAGTATTTGGGTCTGTCTCTTTTGACCACATCAACACTGCAGGAGTCCTTTCCAGGGTTCTTGGTGGCGAGCAATGTTAACCTATTCTATATGGCACACTTAACTTAGCCATCTAGCTTAGCCCAGGGGGATACTCTCAGCGGTGGCAGTATAGTCATCTGAAAGAGGTCCACAATTTGCCGTACCGGTATGTCCCGACGACAGGTGGACTTTCGACACCGGCAAACGGTTGTGTGTCTTTCCGACAGCGATAATAACTCACGAGCAAATCAAAAGGAGGAAGCTGCAGGAAATGTGGTAGCCGCTGCTCTTGAGTCCCAGCCATCTAGTCGGTATAGTCGCCGGAAAGAGGTCCGGAATTTGCCGTAGGGGTATGTCCAGACGACAGGTGGACTTTCGACACCGGCAAACTGTCCTGTGTCTTTCCGACAGCCATAATACACCATCTATCTGATGGCTGTTTTTGCAAACATCTCGCTCTGTGCAGAATGCAGGTCTCCTTGTCTCGTACAGATGCTACTAATTGTAGCAACCAGACGCTGCAAAGATGAAGACTGCTGACGCGCAGTAAACACACGTCATAAGAGGCGCCAACAAGCGCGCGCTTTTGCGATGCACTCTAGAAGGGAAAAATCCCCCCAGCCTTACCCCCTGGAAATTATTTGAATGTCTACCGTGACATTATGGGGTAAGTTAAAACTATTGTACCGAATGCCCTGGTACTATCTGCCACAGTGAGCCACACTAAAACTTTACAATAAATATAAAGTGAGTGGAAAACCTCAGATAATATGGAGTGATGGCATCAAGCATGTTGCAACAACTGTAAAGATTTCTGGAGAGAAAAAAAAAAACAGACAGAAGAATACAACACAAGAAGATTCTTGATTGCCTTTTGCCATGGCATGGAGAGATGTCAGCAGACGAACTGATACATTCTGTTCAAGATTGCAGTTTGTGGAGAGGCATTATCGCCCACACAAGTCGGCAAGGCACTTGGCTGATGATTAATGATGAGAATATTAAGTGTTGGGGACCCTAGCTCTCTCATAGTGCAACTCTCGTCTTACCGCAGGAACTGAACCCTAGTAAATGTTGAGGTTTACATTAGGAAATGATTTCGATTATTCTTTTAAAAAAAACTTAGATGTAGACAGACAGCAAAAGAAGTGCAGGAGAGGTGAAACAGAAGAACCAAATGCAGATGTTACCTCTCTGTACATTCGTAGTTCCTTCTCTTGCTCCTGATGACTCATGTCTTTGGAGACATTCTCAATTGTGTAATCATAGGTTTCTGAATGATTCAAATTCAAATTTTGTTAATGATAAACAATCATAATCATCTGAATGATCTAAAACTTGCATATTTCAAGGCAGTATGAAGTCTGCATCTTAAGAGGCACATTATAAGAAGAGAGTGGAGTGGCAAGCATTACTTCAGAGATCCCAGGTAGTTAGTTTTCTTGGTTATTTTCTCCAGGGCAGGTTGGTGTGTTGGGAAATGAACAGGCAAACAGACTGGCTAGTTCTGTATCATGTGGTGGTAAACCGATGCATGACAACCCAGATGTTATCAAGGTAATTTAGGAGAGAGTGACACAGCGAAGAAGCAGAAGTAGATCACCAAGATCTGAAGAGAATGGTGCAGCTGGCAGTAACCAGGGGCTCTAGACAAGGCTCAACATACAGAGGAAAGGTAAGACCAACATAAGAATCAGACTGCTCTAGTGCCATCGGAATTCTGCGCATGCTAATGAAGATGGGGAGGGCGCGCTTATGGGAATCTTCTTCTTCTTTGTTCACCGGCTGTAAGTTCCGGCGGAAAGTCCTTGTTGCTCATCCATTTGGACTTTGGCTTTGTGCCAGGGACTGAGTTTTGCATGTGCATTTATTTTACTGACTTATTTGTGTGCAGCTGGTTGTTCCTTGCAACTCAGGCAGATTCACTACTGACCTCAAAGGAAGCTCCCAATTAGTCGACTCCTTGTTGGGGAGGTAGTTGGTCTATTCGTGTTTTCCCCATAATGGGGCCAATGAACCCACAGGGGGAGCTGGTGGGAATGTCCCACATGATATTATGTCAGTTCTCAACTCAGCTTATTACAAGAACACTGTAAAATGTTAATAGGTCATATTCATACCTCGCGTCGTAAGAGATTCTATACTGTAAGGTTTCCTGCCACTGGTGAAGTCAGGCCGCACACTTAAAACTCCGTTAGCATCTACTTTGAGGGCACATAAAATATATTCATCTGCCTCAGTTGCTGGTCTGAATGTGGATAAAACAATACATAGTGTTTATTTCTTTCTTTTTTTTACTAAATTAATACATACAGTGTTAATGTTAAAAAAACATTACCCTAACCTTAACCAAATTTTTTTTTTAAATTACATTACTATGTATAGTGTTTAATGTTAACCTCTACAGTATCAATATTAACTGTATACTTTTAATGTTAAATTATCCTACATTATCTTTTTAGTTAATACATTAACATTTATAGTTTTCATTTTAACTTTTACAACTCTCATAAAAACTGTGATAGTTACCATGTTAAGCATTTATAATTTTAATGTAAAGTTGCAAGCCTCCTATGTTAATTATTATTGAATTAACTTGAACAGTGCCTACACTCATCTGTACTGCTTCTACGTGGCTCAGAGGTTAGTGAAAGAGCTGAACAATTTTATGTTTTAGGATTCAATTTCTGGGGCAAAGAGAAAAACATGTTCTTGTGGTTTTCAGATGACAGTACTAGAATCACACTGTGGAAGAGACTGAAGCATCCCTACACAATACAGGGTGTCCCAAAGGTTTCGATACACAGGAAAAAACTAAGATAACAACAACGCCATTACAAGCACAATTCCAGCTGTGCTTGTGCGTGTTTTCCAGCAGTGGAAGACACATGTGGAAATGTGTTTCCAAAATAATGGTAGTCAGGTAGAGCAAATATTTTTAAAAAAATACTTTTCATTTAAAAAAAAACATTTATTTTCCCTATGTATGAAACCTTATCTCTCCTTCTTCTTCGCGTTCACTGGCTGTGAACTCCAGTGGAAAATTCTGGTTGTTCATCCACCGCAAGACTTTAGTCTTCTTTCAGAACCTAAGTGTTGCGCGCATATCCGTTTTATAGATCTCACTTATTTGTATATAGATTTTCGGTTCCTTGCCTTTCATGCAGATGCACTCCGACTCTGAAGGAAGCCCCGGTTAGTTTACTTTTACGACAGCTTACTGAGGAGGCAATGGGTCTATTCTTGTTCCACCCCACCACAACAGGGCCTCGGAACCCACACAGGGATATGAAACCTTATGGGACACCATTCTAAAGACAACAGTGGGTAGACTGTCGCCAACCTTCACTGTGGAGATAAGACATCATTTTGTTAAATGCTATCAAACATGAAACAGCAATAATAGCCATTGGAGATAAACACCTGTGTCGTAAAGACAATGGACCAAGGAACAAGAGCATCAAGATCTTACATGAGCTGAGCATCCGGGGAAATTGGCTCATAAACAACATCCTGAGCTATTTTGGTCACATTAAAAGTAACCATGGCCTGGAGAGAACGGTGATGGAGGGTACAGTTTTGGGAAAAACGAGGTGGAGGCAGACCTACATGAAAGTAAATATTCATTGGATATGAAAGTACCTAGAGACTAGGGCTGGAGAAAGAGAGACTTTCAGGTGTGCTGTAATGAGAGTGACGTTCTGTGAAGGACCTGTTGATTGAAGATGATTATGATGATGACATACCTGTCCGCTGGGCTCAGATCTGCCATGATGTACATGACTTGGATAGGTGGTGCCTCTAGGTGGTTTCTCAGTTTGGCTTCTTCAGATGGTGCTTCGTCAACAATCAAAGTCTTGGGGATACTTCCTTGTTCTCTGTAGAGTGAGATAGGTAACAGCAAACACTGTAAGTGCATTCACCAAATCTACTGAATGAATGTTTCAACAGCGTTTGGCATTTTAAAGACATGCAGCAAAAGGTAAATGCAATGGAAAATGCCTGAAGAAATTAATGAACATTGAAGAGGATGAATTAAAAGTATGGTGGTTAGCACCAGCAAGAAAAACAAGATTGAAATTTAGAGGTTTTCTCTCAGTCAGGGTTTTCCAGACAGCACTTCATTAACAATCTTCCGCTTCTTCTTCGTATTCACCAACTTCAAAGTCTATCACAAAGTTTTGGTTGTTCATCCACTCCTAGATTTTAGTCTTGTTGCTGTTTTACAGATCTGGCTTATTTCTATGCAGACTGTTGATTCCTTGCCTCTCAAGGAGATACACTCTGACTTCGAAGGAAGCCCCACAATTAGTTTACTCTTATGACTGGCTTGTGGGTTTATTCTTGTTTTCCCCACAATGGGGCCCTGGAACCCACATGTGGACTTCAGCAATCACATTCTTGTGGATAATTCCCTGTTCTCGATACAGTAATGTGGATAACGGCAAACAGTATAAACACATTCATTAAACCTAATGAATAAATGTTGCAACAATGAGGATTTTTTAAGTCTCTTAGCGTGTGGCCTTTAAAAAACACTGAATGAAAGACAAATGTATTCGAAATTTAACTTTATGTGACGTACAACACTATAATAGGATGATGATGATGCTGCATAGTGTTTGTAGTCATATCTATCCACAACCTTCTGTCTCATGTATTTTTAATCAATTCTGACACAGAAATCTTCTAAGCCATGATGTCAAACTGTCCAGCACCTTCTCTCTCTGTCTCCTCTGCCTCTCTTTCTCTCCTATTTTTCTGCAGCCACGATGTAATCAAGTTGTTTTTCTTCCAGTGGTGTTACAAAAAATGACCTATGATGAGCAGTTATAAAAAAGAAAAAAAGAAGTTATGTCTCTGCAAAAATACTGTGGAATTCTTTCTTCTTCTTCTTTGCGTTCACCAGCTCTAAACTATAGCAGAAAGTTCTGGTTGTTCGTCCACTTCTGGACTGTAGTCCTGTTCCAGAACCCAAGTGTTGTGTGTGCAACCATTTTACAGATCTGACTCATTTGTACTGTTGGTTCCTTGCCTCTCAGGCAGATGCACTATAACTTCCAAAAAAGCTCCCGACTCTTACAACATGTTTTTGGGTAGGCATTAAGTCTATTCTTGTTTTTCCTATATTAGGACCCCGGAACCCGGCATGTGAAGTCTAATGAGGAATTAAACAATACACTCCTTGTGTGGGTTCCAGGGCCGTGTTGTAGGGAAAGAAGAATAGACGCACTGCCCCTTAACAAGCAGGTTGTAACATCCGACTAATCAGAGGTGTTTCCTTCTAAAAGTCTGCAAACAAATAAGCCAGATCTGTAAAACGGATGTGCATGAAAAACTCAAGTTCTGGAACAAGATTAAAGTCCAGAAGTGGATGAACAACCTGAACTTTCTGCCAGCGTTTACAGCCAGTGAACACGAAGAAAAAAAAATAATACACAGATGTACAAATAAAGTGATGTTATACTGGAAAAAAAAAATTGGCCTACACATTTGTAATAAGTTTAGAATATAAATTCTGGACATGAAATTTAGCAGAGGAGATTTTTACTGAACATACTTCTCTTTCAGCTGTCTACCACCAAGTCTGCGACAATGTACTTGTGCCATTTTCACCGCCAGAGGACTGGGCTTCACGTAATAATTGGTCATACTGTAGACACCCTAATGGTATGTAAGGACAATAAATATGGAGAATTACCAAATACTGTGGAAATAACTAGAATGAAACACAAGTTAGCAACATCAAGAACAGTTCACTCAACACACGCAACTTATCACAGATTGTCGCCAAACACTCTGTACTTTAAAACTATCCAATATCTTTCTTCTTCTTCCTTAATTTGCCTTTAAAAAAGCAGTTAGCACATTGTAATGTAGTTTACAGATAGGCTGCTGCTTCTTCTTCTTCACGTTCACTGGCTGTAAACTCTGGAGAAAGTTCTCATTGTACCTCCACTTCTGGACTTTAGTCTTGTTTGAGAACCTGAGTTTTGCAGCACATCTATTTTATAGACCTGGCAGACTCTGGTTCCTCGTAATTTTGAAAAAAAAATCAAATTCAATGCATTTTTAAATTCATGACCTTCATGGTGGAAGGCATTTGTTTTACAGATCTGTTTATCTGTACACAGACTGTTGGTTCCTCACCTCCCAGGTAGGAGCGCTCTGACTTCAGAGAGAAAAATTCCTAACCACTCGCCTTTTAGGACTGCAGTGGGTCTATTCCTTTTTCTCCTGCCAAAATGGAGCCCCAGAAACATCTGAAATGTGGCTCTCTGAGTCTCTGGGTATCAAACCTTCAGATTGCAGCCCAGAGAAAGAATACAGAAAAATACTTATAAACAAAATATTTATAGCATATTTTTTTTATTCTACACCCTTAAAATGTGGCTTTGCATGTTTTGTTGTGGTTTACAGATAGGCTGAGATATCTGTGCCCTTCAACCCAACATATCAGAGTTCAGTAAACCCTTCATTAGTAGCTTTTCATGACATGCTCATTAAGGGGCAGAAATGGAATCTACATGGCGGACTTGCGGCTTATGACGATCACCAACTCATTCTAACATCTTCACGCACTCTGCTTCTTCTTCACGTTCACTGGAAAGTTCTGGATTTTAAGAACCTGAGTTTTGCATGCACATCTGTTTTACATATCAGGCTTATTTGTAATGCAGACTGTTGGTTCCTCACCTCTCAGGCAGATGCACTTTGACTTTCTATTTAGTCGACTGTTGTGACATGCTAGTTATGGAGGCAGTGGGTCTATCCCCCCATAATGGGGCTCTGGAACCCGCACAGGAATTATATATTTGAATACTCATGAAAACTACCAGCACAAGAGAGAAATCTTTCTCTCCCCACAATGTTTAGCCAGAGAGTGAAGTTATATTTAGTAAACAAAACAAGGTTAGAAAAGGTCATGTGAAAGACGAAGCACTCACTTCCTGTTGATGTGAGAATCGGTCATGGTCGACATAGGTGAAGATCAGATTCTTTCGTCTTTTTTTGTTCCTGGAAGATAAATCATGAAATAAAAACCTGTGTCAGAACTGTTTTAAAAAAAGCCAAAATTATGCACAAAGGGAACAAAGTATCCCGCATTTTCTCCTTCTTTTGACCCATCTCTAACACCTTGGCTTTTTTTTCAGCTGTCAAAACCTTCTGCAGATCCTCTTTTCTTACATATAAAACTCACATGTAAAAAGGAATATTTCAGCAATTATTCTCATCCAACAGCATCCAATGTATAGCTGACCTCTTAGAAAATAATGTATCTCTGACTGTTATAGTGGCTACCCACCAACTCAGGATGTCTGCTACTAAATCTTCATCAAGAGTCAAAACATACAATAACCACATAACTTCAAAACCCCACAAACTTACAGTAATACTGAGACATCTTGCTTGTATTTCTGATCCAGTACATTCTGGCAGTTTTCAGGTTTACTGTAAAATTCTACTTCTCGCTGAAAAAATGAAATAAAAACAGTATTTTCATAAGTTGCAAACTAAAGTGGGGCATATTTGCATGTATAGTGGCTTGTGTCCTTGACAGGACTGAGGTCAGGAGGTCACCATGGAAATTCTGGCAAGGAGGTGTGGGTGTCAGGGGAAATAAACAGGCTGAGATTTTCCGTGCATTATTAGGTGAAAACTTATGATCAAGTGCATTTAAGGCATGAGTTTCCAAGTGCAATATTTCGTCTTCTAGGGGATGATGTGTCTACTGGATGATATTACTCACATTCTAAGATGACATAGCTGTGACAAGTCAACACCGTCTCCAAGATACAAGACTGTTTATTGACATCTAAACACTTACATATATTGTCCTGTCCATGTCCTAATCAACAGCTTTCCCGCACCACATTGTTCAGACGCCAACACACTGACTCCTCACACATTCACCGACCAGTGTTCTGCGTCTTCAGTTCCACATCGCTGCATATATGGATCTGGTCATTGCATTGAGTTTCACACAACTGCGTTGGCTGGACTTTACTTCGATGGAAGTTATCGTCAGGTCGTCCTCTTGCAGCAATCAGTTTCACGTCTTCATTCACTCGATCACTCTCACGTCCTCTTGTTCTGACGGTCAACACATACTGTCTGATCAGACTGGGATCTGAACTTATACCCAGTGTTCGTTCCACATGGCAACATGTGGTCGTTCTTGGGTTCCACGTGGCGACCTGTGGTCGTTCTCCTCGGTTTCCATGTGAAAACACGTAGTTGTTTCCTACCTTGAAAACCTTGGTTAATCCGAGTATCTGGCTTCTCTCAGTGTTTTGGTTAACCTAGGGCTTTTCCCCCAACCTTCTCAATCAGGGTGAAAATATCCCCCATTACACCAAGCCACAGGTTGCGACCCCATTTGAGTTCAGAAAGTGTTTTCCATGGGGTCGCTGGGCATTTGTGAGCTGTGAAAACTGTTTAAAAGGGAAGGAAGAAACCACGTTACTGCGTCCTTAACAGACATCTGTTTGCGGAATGACGACGTTACTCAGCTTGTGATTGATTGATTCTTAGTGACTCATGCGCACTGAGTAAATATAGGGTTGTGGGTCACTGTCTCTATAAAATGAGGTTGCAACTCAAAAAGGTTGGGATCCAGTGCCTTAAGGAGATGTCTGTGTGCAGCAATGACTGTAATCACATAAACCTACTAACTGTTTTTAATATCTCTGGGTCAGAGCAATAATACCATCACAAACATGCTACCTACCTGGCAAAATATCTTCTGCTGCCAACCAATGACACATTCTTGAATATCATTTGATTTGTCCTTCTTTCCCTTTCCAAGTGTTTTAAGCTCGACACCACCTTCTGTTGTGAACAGAGCTGTAGGGTTGTCATCAGGAAAAGATGCAGACACTTTTTTCAATGATACCCTGGATTGAACATAAATTAAATTACCACTGAGGTATTTTTGTTTTCTTCTCTTTTTCTTCAACCTTTTATAATCTGTTGCAGGAGTTAGACACAGATCTGTTCTGTCGCTGGATCTCTGCTCTCCTTGTCATCATCATCATCCCGTAACACTGCATGTCGTTGGGTCACCAGTTTCTGTTGACTGTCTGATCAGCTCTCTCCACCTTTGGCGGTCAGTTGCAATCGACTTCATGGTTGCATGCCTGAGGCCTGTCCAGTCAGTCATGTTCTGTAACCAGGTCTTTCTTAGCCTGCCTCTTCTCCTCTTTCCCTCTACTGGGCCTTGCAGTATTGTTTTTGAGAAGCCGTTAGATCTTAAAACATGCCCATACCATTGTACTTTTAGCCTTTTCACTGTAGCTAAAAGAGGTTCAAAGTTGCCAGTGTGCTGTCTAATTATTTGGCGAACCTCTTCATTTGTAATGTGGTCTCTGTATGATATGCCAATAATTTTTCGGAAGCATCGCATTTCCAATGCTTGCATCTTTCTTTCAAGTTCAGCTGTTAAGGTCCACATGTCACATCCATATGTAAATGTACTAATAGCTAGTGCTCTGAGCAATCAAATCTTAGTTTTGCATGAAATGTTTTTGGATCTCCATGTTTGCTGCTTGGTAAGGACTGATATTATCTGGGCAATCCTAGACATGATTTCTAGTCTTGACCCCAAGTCACTTTGTGACCTTTAATGTACAATGGTGAAGTTATACCAGCTGGGTTATTTGTCATTACTTTTTTTTTTTTTTTTTTTTTATTTCCATTCCATACTTGGTCAATGTTTTATCAAACAGATTTACAAGCTTAACTAGCTCTTGTCCTTTTATGGCCAACCATCAATGTCATCTGCAAACCTTAAGTTAGTTATAGTCTGACCTCCTATAATAACTGTTCCGTGATGTTGTTCTAAGGCATCAGTCGTGATTCTGTCTAAGAAGATATTAAACAGTGTTGCATCCTTGTAGCAAAATAATAAGAAAGACCAAAAAATAACCATGCATATGATTTAGATATAATATAAACAATTTGCTTTAGGCAAGTAGTAATACAGTAATAACAACTGAAGATGCACAACATATGTAACAAATGTATACATCAAATATGAGGCAAGGTTAAAACCAGGGACTATCCTCCGAATAACGGTCCTAAATTATCGAGGCGGAAAATATACCCTAACAGAGCCTCAGTCACGTGTCAATTGCGCACTTCCGTCGTCTTAAATTGCGCACTTCCGGTGACTTCCGCCAAGGCGAGAGTATCCCCCAAGCCACATGAGCGGCATAGATTGGGGCTTAACTAGATGGCTGGGACTCACAAGCAGCAGCTACCGCATCTCCTGCAGCTTTATTCATTTTATTTGCTCGTGAGTCCTAGCCATCTAGTTTAGCCCCAATCCACGCCACATGAGCGGCGTGGGGGATACTCTCGGCGGTTGCGGAAGTTTGCAATTCAGCGGTGGCATTATAGTCCCCGGAAGTGCGCAATTTACACGTGATTGAGGCCCTGTTACGGTATATTTTCTGCCTCGATAATTTAGGACCATTATTCGGAGGATAGCCAATTTGTTTCTTTTTCAACTCCAGGCAATTGTAAAAAAAAAAAAATTATCATACTATAATGATAGAGACATTCGGGTGAATTATAACAAGAGACATGGTCAGCAGAATAACAGGAGAGAAATAATGATGGATGGTGAGTCCTAAGATATTTGAAACAACAAACGACCAAATGTGAATTGATCCAGAACCAAGGCAGAGTAGTCAGATCTGCGGATAGAAAATCTTCCCCATTTGGCAAAGCACAAAATAGTGACTTATTTATATACAAAAGTAGTTAAACGACAAAAATGCATGGACATTTACTTAATCTTCAAATTCTTTATCGGATCGTTTGAACGATAATATGCAGTTCCGTAGTCAGCTTCGTACAGCGACGACATTTTCACGGAAGTGTAAACAACAGAGTCCCGCACTAAATAGCTGCGTTGCTACCGTAGAGAAGGCCGTGCTACCGTCACATGCGGACTTCAAATACACAAAAAAGGCCTTAGGTAGTAATTTCTGGTCCCCCCAAAAAATACTGTTTGAATAACTTAATTTGTGCAATTCTAAATTTGTTTATTTACACTAAAGTTTAGTTTTATAATATTACATTCTTTTTAATGATGTATTTATATTTTACATTAATCAACATAATGTATTTTTTTTTTAAGTAGATTATCACTTTTTATCATTTAATTTTTTTAAAATAGTTAATTTATGTTCGACATTTTTTACATACAAAATCTGTATTTTTTTTTCAACGTTAAAATATCCTAATTTATTCTGCCGTTAGGCTAATTATATTCATCCCGGGTCGGGACAAGAGGTGCAACTAACACCCGAGAGAACATCCGCGGGAGAGCGGGGTGGGGGGAGGAGGTGGTATAGAGGTTATTCATTAAAATGATATCGGTGGGCTGTGAAGGCAGTCGCTGCAGCTTTCCGCTCGCTTGTGAATTAGGTGTAGATGTACCTATATCTGTCTATCAAAGCAAATCTAAAAAAAAATTTTTTTTTTTTTTTTTTGGCCACAGCTGTATACTGTCAGTGTCAAATATGGGCCCCTTACTAAAGTAATGGACACAGAATCATAACAACAGAGAAGAGATGTTCTAGAGGAGCTGCCGTAGTAACAAGAAGAGATACCATTTAAAATCTGTTTCTTCTTCTTCTTCAATCTAAAATGACAGAATTTAGAATGAGGTTGGACTGAAACCAGCGATATAGTTTATTGAAGAAAAACAGGAGAGATGATTTAACTGATGAGAATAACCTGCTACCAGCTGCCGCAGAGAGCAACGCTGAACAATTACAATAGATACAGTGCAAGTAGAAGACCACGTATTATGGAACGATGGCATCAAGAACAGTGTTGCAGAAATGAAGACTGACTTATAAAAAACACTGGAACTGGCAACTATGCACAAGCAGTATTGATTGTGTACATGGCGCCCTTCACTGTAAGCAGTATTGGGCTCAGATGTGTACGTGGTGGCCAGCCCTTCCCTAACCTTCTTAGAAATCACAACATGCAAGGTCATTGTGGCTTCCTCTCAGATGAGACTATCTCCCCTCCAAGTGGTGACGACAGGGCATCAAACAAGACTATCAAGCATCTGCCATGCCCTAGGTACGCTACTGTGCACGGCAAGGTAGATGAAATATATGTCCTTTAGTAGCACGTCAACAATGCGGAAGAAGGAACAGATCACTTAACAAATTGTACCGTATCCATAATAGAGGATGGCTGTTGTGTATCATCAATCAGCGAATCCGTTACAGAATGTTGCTTCCTTCACTGCACACCTGAAAGTATCCCTTTTCTTAGCCAACTCTCCAGCCCCATGTGCTTTCAATGTCCTGTATCCGTCTTTGCGGTGTCAACCCCTGCCCCACCTTCGACAACTGTACCCTCTATCACCGTCTTTATGTGCATCCTTGGGTATATTAAGCAGTGCAGCCCTAAACTCCTCCATCCTATATTATTACAACAACAAAGCTCGCCGTGTGGGTTCCGGGGCCCCATCGTGGGGAAAACAAGGATAGACCCTCTGCCTACCCAAAAGCACGTCGTAAGAGTCGACTAATGGGGAGCTTCCTTTGAAGTCGGAGTGCATCTGCCTGAGAGGCAAGGAACAGTCTGCATTCAAGTGAATCAGATCTGTAAAACTGATGCACACGGAACACTCAGATTCTGGAGCAGGACTGCAGTTCAGAAGTGGACGAACAACCAGAACTTTCCACCAGAGTGTATAGCTGGTGAACGCGAAGAAGAAGAAGAAGAAGACAACAAATCCATCAGAACACCCTTTTTCTAAATCATCCACTGCGGCAATAAAAACATTCTTCATGTGAATCGCGAAATCGCTTTTAACACGTTCATCGATTCCTAGCTACAGAGTCGCACAGATAAGTATGGTTTAACAAGAGTTATGAAAAATGGGATACATGTGGATAAAAAATAATGCCCATGGGACAGCAGTAAATGTGAACCTATAATATACTGCTAAGAAAAAGAGTCGGCTCTGTGGCTAAGTTGATGCGAACGCTTCGTAATGCCGGGTGCGATCCCAGCTGCGGGCCATGCGCCTTGCGTTGGTTTCGACATTGGTATCAAGAAAGCCGACCGTCCAGGAAGCAATGGCAAACTACTGGACGTAAATGTGCCCAGAAAAACCACACAACAGCTAGGAGCTGTTGGGGTTGGTTCTGCAACGTCCTGTAAAGGATACGCAATTAACCTAAGAAAAAAAAACGCAGTTACCCGATTGCTCGTGATTATTGGTTGACGGAAAAGATGGTACGCTCATAAACTATTGAGACCCAGAAGAAAAATCACTTTTAATTCACTGTTTGATACTAAGGTATTCTTGTGGGCAAAATTGTGCTCTTTTCGGCAGCTATGCGTTTATTATTGTTGTTGCTGTTATTATTTTCTGAGGCAGTACAACAAATAATAATTTCATATGTTAGCATCTGTTGTGCTTACTTAGGATGGGGACACTGTTCTTACTGATGAACCATGGCGGTTTGGCGTTTAGCGGTGGGGACACTCCCACGGGTGTGTGTGTGGTGTCTGTTCTCAACTCGTACACACCGGTTCGTCCTAATACTAAAGTTCCAGGGGACATATCTGGGTCTCCCTTTATCGTCCATGTTATTGTTACTCATAACTTCTTTATTTATTCGATTATCACGTGGCCTTTATTTTGACCCCTGGAATGTACTCTCATACAAAGAGAACAAGTGAAATATCGGAGATAGTCAGAACTGGGCGTCTGAGAAGATACTCGTAATGGCGACTTTTTATTCATTCATTATCCTGTTGTACCAGTCTGCACCGCTGGGTGGTGAATTGATACATAATAACGCAGATGTGGTCAGAGCCCTTTGGGAATAAATAGCGAAGTCAGAAAAGAAATTAGATTATGGTTCTTAATTTATAACGTACCCCAAACAGGAAAATCCCCGTGGGAAATCCACAGCTGACAGCTAGATTATTATGGGCTGGAGAGAATGTTGCACCTGGGAGTGACCAGAAGGTTTGACCGGCACATTATGCTAAGGAAAAATGGAAGACGAACATGCAACCAGACTGCGACGGCACCATTAGTATTGGAACTCTGCTCTGGCTGCTGAGGATAGGAACGGAATGGGTATGGGAATGCCCTGAGTGCTGTGATGTCAATTCTTGACTCAATTCAACTCAACTACCCCGTTGTGTCATTATATGTCACATAAGGCTCGCAGTCTATTCATCCGTTCTATCCTGTGTAATCAGTTCGAATTCACTGATAAAATCCAGTCCAGCAGCTTTGGTCTCTCTCATCAACGTTCGTCTTAGGGTTTCTTTTGGGCGTCCTCGTCTCCTTAGTCCCTTTATTTCCCATATGTATGCCTGTTTGTTGATTCTCTGCTAGTTTCTTCTCAGGATGTGTCTAATGTAGTGCCATCTTCTGTCTATTAATTGTTGATACTAGTTTTAAAAAAAAAAGTAAAGGACCCTTTTCCACGCCTTTAGGCGTATAGGGCATATAGGGCTAGACCTATATTTTTATAGACCAATCGGTACAAGATGGGTGATGTGGTCAGCATCAAGCTGACCGCCTTTACTTCCCGGGCTGCACCCGGTACCCACTCAAGGCTGGGTCGACCTGGAAGCCAAGGTCATTTTTGAAAAAAGTCCGGCTCCGCCAGGGAGCGAACCCACGATCCGCGGCGATCCGCGGCGAGCGTCTAGCCACGGCGACTGCCGTTGATACTAGTGGTTGCTCAAATATTTCTTCAAGCCTTTTGAATTCATCCCATCTTATTTTCATCATTTTCCACAGACACTTGTTTTCACATGCATTTAACTTTTGTTCCATGTCTTTAGTGATTCTATAACTTTCGTTTGCATATGTTAGTTAGTTAATTAAGTTAAGTCAAGAATTGACATCACAGCACTCGGGGCATTCCCATGCGTGCTCCGTTCCTCATCATTCATCAGCCAGCGCAGAGTTCCAATACTGATGGTACCAGTCATAATCTGGTTATAGGTCCGTCTGGTCTTTCCTATGGTTACACTCAGGTGCCTCATTCTCTCCAGGCCATAATTAATCTTGTTTCTCTACTGATTCCGTTACTTGTTCCCAAAGGGCCTTGACAGCATCTGCCCTGTCATGCATCAGTTCACCACCCAGTGGTGCAGATCCAGCCAATCTGTCTGCCTGTTCATTACCCAACACGCCGGCATGACCAGGAGAAAGGATTCAAAGTATGCTCACTACCCGTGATTTTTCCAGTGAAGCTTGCCACTCTGCTCGAAGCATCCATGTCTTCACCTTTCTCAGCATACTTTCAGAGTATGTTACAATTATGACATGTGTAAGCATGTTGCATATGTTAAAACTATAGTAACGTTAGAATAGAAAATATGTTTTAGAGCTATTTCCATATTTTGTTCAAGCTACGGACAAAACCTCAACATAAACTAAAACCAACTTTATAAAACAATAGATGGATAAATATACCAGTAAAAGAATTGCCACCAAGGCGACAACCAACAAAATGGGGCCATATCCCTCCTTTTACCGACCTCCCAAGATCAGTGATTCCCAAACTTTTCTTAGTCGCGGCGCTTTTTTTCAATTACAATTTTCCACGGTGTCCTAACCTAAGTAAAAGTATGACTGTTCGTATGTAAGAGATAAAAATAAAATAAAACTCAACGGCGTCCCTCTGAAGAGGTCGCGGCTCACCGGGGCGCCGCTGCACACAGTTTGGGAATAACTGACTACGATCATCATCTGTTAGCACTACACACTCTTAATCTTCATACATTGCCCTTATAACTTTTTTTCCCCAGTGGTATACCCCCGCGCTCTGAAATTCTCCATAGTGATGTTCTATGCAAACA